TCCGGAGTGACGTCACATCTGCAAGCATACGTCATATCCGTCCTTTCTATCCTTCATGCTCTCCGGTCAAGTCTTACATTTTGCCTCTGCTAAATAATTCCCACCCACCCGTCCCTTCAGAGGGCAATACCGTGTTTGGGGGAGGGGGGCGCGGAGGTTGGTAATTTTTTACTTTTAAGTCACCATTGTACAGAACAGACACAAGCTGTACCAAGATCCAACTTCTTAATAAAATAGGTGCAGTGGGCATGGTGCCGACGGGACTAAGCAGCAGTGCTGCTACAACTAGGGATACTTGGCATCTGCTTTCACAGTGGCAGCCCAAACCTTCCTGCCTGCTGTCTCCGCGGGAGGAAGTACCAAAGTTTCCCATGCTTTACCCGTCTGCTTTGCCACGGCGGAGGGCCGCAATTAGCTATCATACGCATTCGGTCCCGTCGGCGCCATCCACACCCTCCGCTCTTTGTCATCCACACATCTGTCTTGTTTAGTCTGTTCACTGGATTCCTTTATTCTTATCTATTTCCGACCATATCATAATATCAATTGGAAGGTTCAGCATATAATGACATTTAGCGTTGTTTCGCTTAATGGGTTTATGGGCAGCATTTACAATTCAGCGCATAACTTTAAACTGTAGTAATTTGCCTTGGCTTATAGTATCCATCCAGCGTCGCAGTACAGGAGGCGGTGTATTATTTCAGCATTTATTAATAGCAGCAGTAGGGCATTTAGAAGTAAATTGGTAAACATGTTCATAGCCAGTATTTACAATACTTGTGCACAACTTTAAACCCTAGCTTTCGCTTATAGGAACTAACCAGCACAGCAACGCACATGGCAGTGTTGTTCTTCCGCATCCCATAATAGCAGTTACGTCACTTCCGGAGTGACGTCACATCTGCAAGCATACGTCATATCCGTCCTTTCTATCCTTCATGCTCTCCGGTCAAGTCGTACATTTTGCCTCTGCTAAATAATTCCCACCCACCCGTCCCTTCAGAGGGCAATACCGTGTTTGGGGGGAGGTGGGCGCGAGGTTTGTCATTTTGACTTTTAAGTCACCATTGTACAGAACAGACACAAGCTGTACCAAGATCCAACTTCTTACTAAAATAGGTGCGGTGGGCATGGTGCCGACGGGACTAAGCAGCAGCGCTGCTACAACTAGGGATACTTGGCATCTGCTTTCACAGCGACAGCCCAAACCTTCCTGCCTGCTGTCTCCGCGGGAGGAAGTACCAAAGTTTCCCATGCTTTACCCGTCGCATTGCCACGGCGGAGGGCCGCAATTAGCTATCATACGCATTCGGTCCCGTCGGCGCCATCCACACCGCACTCTTTGTCATCCACACATCTGTCTTGTTTAGTCTGTTCACTGGATTCCTTTATTCTTATCTATTTCCGACGATCATAATATCAATTGGAAGGTCTGCATATAAGAACTCTGAGATATTATTTTGCTAATGTTGGGTGAGTAATATACAAAATGCAAAACGATATCGCGTGTAATACCATATTTATGGAACGAACGAATGATTTGGTATCTAACGTGCGAAACGGAACATTGTTTAGTATTCTCCTTTTCCGTTACTCAAAGAGAGATGTTTTGTGACACACAAACAACAAATAGAATAAGCGTTAAAACTTTTACAGCCGCGAATTGAAATGTTATTGCGTGCAAAGACAAAAGTTTCAAGGTATGGTAACGATCAACGGTCCTGACATATGTACATGCGTTTGTCCACCTTGTGCATTGATGCAGGAGTGGCACTTTGCCTCATAGAGGCCACAAAAGTTAAAGTTGATGAAAGTCCTCTGGAAGATCATTCTATATGCGAGAAGGATTTGAACGAATTCTTGCAGCAATATTGAAAAAATTCGGATGACGTCATAAACGTAGGATCATTTCATCCCATACATCATTGTCTGGTGATCAATCCGAGGATTTTGCGAAAACTGATGACGTCGACGTCGATATCCTTGCGTCAAATCGCCGCCGCTTGGGCTGGCGTCTTGCACCAAGGCCGTAGACCTGAACTGTTCTTACAGATACACTTCTGTTGTCAGGTATGGTACGGGGTGTGAGGTAGGGTGGGCGAGAATACCGGTTAACCGGGTATATTGCATTCGAACTTCGCAATACCATATATTGCGGTACACTTTTCGCAAACCGGTTCACCCGATACGATGGACAATTTCCGTGGCCATGATCGGTAATTTTCGTGATGTAGTTAAAAAATCCCAATAAGATTTGTATTTCCTTTACATCATTATACATGACTAGTTTTGAGAATGTTTATTGGGCATTCGCATCTGTGCCCTGGCAGTGGCCAGTGGCATTGTTTCAAATGAAAGGAAAACACTAATTTCACTACCTTAGTTAACCCATTGAACACCTGGCAGTAGGCGCGTCAAAATGATATACAATTGTAGGAACCTACCTAACATATGATTCATTTATTAAATCCATTACTTTTCACAATGTCTGAAAACACTTCTAGTTTTCAAATGAACATATATCATCGACAGATTTAGAATTATATAATATTTTTCGCAATGTTATTGAACAAAACCGATTCTCGCACACGTCCACATCAAAGTTGTCAAAGAGCAAAGTAACAATGTTTCGAGGAATTAATTAAACAAATTGAATAAACTAAAGAATATCATCAACAACAGTACTCATAAAAGTTGTCATACGGATATTATAAGTTACTATTTTCCATCTTTTGGTGCGATCATGAAATGTTAGTCAAATAACATTTCGGGTTTCGTCGCCTAGAACTTCACGCCTCAGACACGATGTTTAATGCTAAATATAAAATATATGCTTGAAGCATTTTGTCACAGGTCATCACCTAGCACGACACGACAACTAACTTCCATAAGGTGGTGATTTTGTGCGTAACCCGTTCCGAAATGCAAACATTTATAACAACTCGTGTCATTCCGGCAGGCCGGACGTCGACTGTACCCTCTCGTGGCCATGTTCACGACTTGGCATTGTGTAAGCGCAAACAGGCACGGAGATGAAAACAGTTTAGGAATATTTCCAAACATGGCTACTCCAAGAAAGTCACTTTACATAAGTTTCTTATGTCGTTAACAAATATCAGTAAAAAGATAATTTTATAATCCCGGAACTAATAATGAAAATCGATAATCCCAAAGAAACTATTTTGTAACTACTCGCCTCTTTCCGTGACCTACGCTATTCGGCTTGTCCGGCATAACACGAATTGGTCACAAATGCATTTGACTAATTTCACATTTTAGTATTTGGCGCGATTTTATTGATTGCCACGAGTTTGGAAATAATGGCGTACTATACAGGTACGAGTCTCCTTGTATGTCACGAAAAGAGGCGAGTAGTTACGAATGTTATAACAGATTGTGGCGAAAAAGCGTTATTAGAAACCAATGTTTAACCAATAAAATCGCTTCTTACAACTGCGAGAAACTCCTGTTACTCCTAGTTATTCATAAAAAACGGAAGCATTTGTTACCGAGCGGAAAGCCACTGTTATCGGGAAATAGCCGACCATACATATTATTTCAGAAATCTTTTTATAATATTTTTCAGATTACGTAAAAATGAAAATATAGAAGAAACAGGTAAGGGATATTATGACATGTTACAAATGCACAAAATCGCTGCATTTGTTGCTTCATTCGTGGTTTAACTGGACATTATAATTTGTAAGCTTTCATTTTCATTAAAATTTAACTTATTTAAATTGTTGTTGTATTATTTGAATAGTATGATACAAAAATAAATTTCATATTTATAAATATGTTGGTATTAAACCTTTCAAATGGTGCATGACATGTAGCAGTAATAATGTTTTACAGGCTGATATTTTCCTTGATAAACATAGGCCTCATCTATGACCTCAGAGTCTCTGGGAACTCGGTGTCATGGCAGTAAAAGCCCCTGGTTGACTGGTGTTGAAAGAGTTAAACCATGTGTCACACTTTCACAAATATATTGCAATACGTATTGCAATACGCCAAGACATATCACAATATGTCGCAATAAGAAAATTTTATGCGATACCCAACCCTAGTGTGAGGGTTGCTGGCAGGAACCTGTGTCAGAGGTGCATGGTTCGAATCCATCACACTTTACTTGTGGTGGTTACTGATGAGTGGCCACTATTGAATGGTCAACGCCGCCAACGTGCCAACATATGTGCCAAACGTTGTTTCTATAGACATTGAATCGACGTTTTTCTGACTTCTGCAATATTAAAGACTTCATTGACTGGGAAAATTGATACGTGTCTGGATGTCTGGCATTTTAATGAATATATATCATGTTTCTTGAAAATTTCGAACAGTTGCCAGGTGGTTCTTCTTCGACTATTTACCCGTGAAGGTCTGGGTTAGAATATTGATCTTCAGTAACCCATGCTTGTCGTAAGAGGCGAGTAACGGGATCGGGTGATCAGGCTCGCTGACTTGGTTGACACATGTCATCGGTTCCCAATTGTGCAGATCGATGCTCATGCTGTTGATCACTGTATTACCTGGTCCAGACTCGATTATTTACACACCGCTGCCATATAGCTGGAATATTGCTGTGTGCGGCGTAAAACTAAACTCACTCACTCTTTGACTATTTTAGTGCACCCATTCTCTGATTCAAATCTAAAAATTCATTCATGAGACTACCAGGTCACAATAACCTTTGAGCATATGATCACCTATGTTCCTGTGATACATGCCTCAGGATATCACACGAGTACTGTTATAACATACAGCATTACTATTCTCATACATACTTCACTTATCTCAATTTATCACACTTACTTTTATAACACGATATGATTCTATTGTCACGCGCCTGACCTATCTCTAGTGTCTTCTACAGTCATGCATACACACTGCACAAACTCCCCATAGACACGTATGTCTTACGTAGTTGTTTAACATCAATATTCTAGCTATATGACAATATACCCTAAAAAGACGAGATATATTCAGACATGTCTTACTATAGTCCTAGTTGTCTGCAGGCCACTTTAGCTTCATCGGTATCAAAGCCATCGTCACACACAGTGCCCCATGTGCCGTTATAGTACACCTCAAGTCTCCCAACACCGTTGTCCAGTGGGGACACGAGTCGGATTGTCTGGCCAAACACTGAAAATATAAGATGATTTGTCAGTATGAAACAACATTGACAGAAACACTTCTTTACATCCATAATGACAGAACATAAATAAATTCTAGCGAATTACAAAAGATTAGACACATTTGCCTGAAACCTACCACTGCAAGACACACTTGTAAGAAGAAGTATATAAGCTGTCGCCCACTTCGTCATGTTGAATGCAAGATGGCGTGTTTCTGGCTATGGTCGACGGGTGAATATCGTATAGCATACACTCTGACATGAGAGATAGGAAGCCACGCTTATTATCGAGTGGGTGTCTTTGTGTGTGCATGTAGTTCTTCCTGGTTGATAACATAACTGTGTCTAACATGAGAACAATCCAGGTGATTAGGACATGCAGAGTACAGCCATGACTTGCAACTGTGTGAATTCATTCCAGTATTTACCTTGATAGAATGAGGGCAAGTGTGCATTGAGGTTGGAGCCTTTGGGGATCAAAACGTGGACAGGGTATATGACAAAATTCATAAAGTACGCACGACTCAGTTGCCGCACAACAGCACGGGAGGAAGCAAAAGTCTGTCAAACTTTGAACAAAACCATTGAAACAATAACGTCATTAGGTGAAACGGGTTTCTTTCTTCTCGGTCACTATGACAGCGCTTCGTAATATATTTACATCCAGTGAAAGATGTCAAAATGGCCGATACGAAAACAACGGCACCGGAATTATATTGGAAGTTATTCGCGAAAATTCGTCGATAGCAGCTATTTGCCATCATTGATGAATAGGCCAATCATTGAAACTTGATTAAATGACAGTCATGGATGAAGTATGTTGTATAATTAGCACTGGTATATAGTGTGCAATGAATGGCTAGTTATTAGCGTTAGTATCTATATTAGCTTAACATCAGCTATATTTACCCGTGAAGGTCCGGGTTAGAATATTGATCTTCAGTAACCCATGCTTGTCGTAAGAGGCGACTAACGGGATCGGGTGGTCAGGCTCGCTGACTTGGTTGATACATATCATCGGTTCCCATTGATGCTCATGTCGTTGATCACTGGATTGTCTGGTCCGGACTCGATTATTTACAGATCGCCGCCATATAGCTGGAATATTGCTGAGTGCGGTGTAAAACTAAACTAACTCACTCACTTACATCAGCTATTACTTTCAACGAGTTTTATAGTTTTAGGGTTTTTTTGCATTTTAATGGAGATGTGCCACGTTCTCCATGTTTTGATTGGGTTTGTCTTTACCTGTCCCTTTTTTAACTCAAGCCCAAATGTTTTGAATGACCCTGTTGTTAGCTGTGTGTGGTTGTCTCATGCAGCTCGGTCACCACTGTCGACAACACGTGAAGGGATACAGGAGACTTTTTACATTCATGGTACGTTTCAACAAAACACATCTTTTCATAGTTAAGACTATGTAGATATACATTTTACATGTAAACTAAATGGGATGTTTTGCAAGAAATGTGGTCAATGTCTGGGTATCTAGGACTGGCAATTATTTTAATATCTTTTATGAAACAACTTTCATACATATGGTAAATGCATTTTGTGTCGACATTTATGATAAGTATGGAATATGCATGGCTGGTATTGCATTGTGTTTTATGGCTGGAATATGGTCGGGTGTGCAGATATGCATGTAGTGTGTCACCGATGTAGTGATATGGCCCACCAGTTTTACATTATCTGCGAGTATTACGGGTATTACGACATCTGTAGGCGTTACGATGATGCATTGATGTAGCGTAGGCTGTGCAGTTGTAGGCAACAAAGCCTACACCTCGGGTTCGTTTACCCATGCTCAAATAGAAAGAGGTGACATTATGTTACCAATTCGTTACGTTTTACACGCAAAATTTGGGATATATATGCAGGTAATCCACAAACTCTGCATTCAGCATAATATTCTTACGACAATTAGAATTGTAAATATGTATAGACCTAAGTAAATGTGTGATTTATGTGACATGCATATTTGGAATTGAATGACAGATGTAACATCATGATAAGTGAATAAAAAGGGCACCTACAACTAACAGTCAGCGCAGCTAGAAGCATCAAATGAATCTCCAGCCTCTTGCCCATTATTGCCACAGCATCAGATCATCAAGTTGTACAAGTAGATCATAATATCCCGATTTGTTCTCCACCTTAGTATCCCCGGATCACAGCTCAGTAAGCAGTGACTAGACAGTATTTGTCTATTTAAGTATTGAACTTCCTGGTCGAGCCTCACTGGGTACAAACAGGTTTATCTGTGATTCATCTGGAGCACGCGTACACTAATGTGGATATACTGCCGCTGCCTTGTCGAGCAGTAATCTTGATAAGATGATCTATTCAACTCACGAAACTGTTGTCACACACCCGGATAATTTGAGATCCGTGACGATCCGGATTCGAAAAACACATGCTTGACCAAAGACATGACTCACATTGTCGGGTTGTCAGACTCACTGGCTTGGTTGACTCTATGTCGTAGACCAACTGCATAGATCGATATTTATGCTGTTGATCACGAGATTGTCTGGTCCAAAATTATCCGTTACAGGCCGCTATGACTAATATTGCTGAGTGTGACGTTAAACAACACGTATAAAACTGATTAATTTAAGACATGAATAATGTTCTCGACATGCATCAGTTCATTAGTTTATATGTTTTCATTCTTGCTCATTGCAAAGCGTTTGCCTTCATGCATCTTTTGAATATTTGCAAATGCAAAAAGACCCGTTAACATATAATAACTTAGCATTTGCGTTTTGGGTTGTTTTGTATATTATTTTACTGTGTGGGGAATTGGTTTCGTTTTATTTTTCATTGTTTTTTGGTTTTGGTTTTGTACGGAAACGTAGTAGGGTCACGGTGAAAAATCTTTTTGGGGTCAATATCTCCTACGTAGGACTTGGTATCTCCTAGGACGTAGTATCTCCTAGGACGTAGTATCTCCTACGTAGGACATACTATCTCCTAGTATACGTAGGACATACTATCTCCTACGTAGGATTCTGGTATCTCCTACGTAGGACTTGTATCTCCTACGTAGGACTTGGTATCTCCTAGGACGTAGTATCTCCTAGGACGTAGTATCTCCTACGTAGGACATACTATCTCCTAGTATACGTAGGACATACTATCTCCTACGTAGGGACTTGGTATCTCCCTACGTAATACTTGGTATCTCCTAGGACGTAGTATCTCCTAAGTAGGACATACTACCTCCTAGTATACGTAGGACATACTATCTCCTACGTAGGACTTGGTATCTCCTACGTGGGACTTGGTATCTCCTAGGACGTAGTATCTCCTAGGACGTAGTATCTCCTACGTGGGACATACTATCTCCTAGTATACGTAGGAGTTGGTATCTCCTACGTAGGACTTGGTATCTCCTACGTAGGACTTGGTATCTCCTAGGACGTAGTATCTCCCACGTAGGACATACTATCTCCTAGTATACGTGCAGGGACATACTATCTCCTACGTAGGACTTGAGTATCTCCTACGTAGGACTTGGTATCTCCTACGTAGGGACTTGGTATCTCCTAGGACGTAGTATCTCCTAGGACGTAGTATCTCCCTAAGTAGGACATACTATCTCCTAGTATACGTAGGACATACTATCTCCTACGTAGGGACTTGGTATCTCCTACGTAGGGACTTGGTATCTCCTAGGACGTAGTATCTCCTAGGACGTAGTATCTCCTACGTAGGACATACTATCTCCTAGTATACGTAGGACATACTATCTCCTACGTAGGACTTAGTATCTCCTACGTAGGACTTGGTATCTCCTACGTAGGACTTGGTATCTCCTAGGACGTAGTATCTCCTACGTAGGACATACTATCTCCTAGTATACGTAGGGACATACTATCTCCTACGTAGGACTTGGTATCTCCTACGTAGGACTTGGTATCTCCTAGGACGTAGTATCTCCTAGGACGTAGTATCTCCTACGTAGGGACATACTATCTCCTAGTATACGTGGGACATACTATCTCCTACGTAGGGACTTATCTCCTACGTAGGACTTGGTATCGTGGGACTTGGTATCTCCTAGGACGTAGTATCTCCTACGTAGGACATACTATCTCCTAGTATACGTGGGACATACTATCTCCTACGTAGGACTTAGTATCTCCTACGTAGGACAGTACCTACACGACGTGGGAAGGATTGCTTGATCAACTACAGCAACTATATCCGAAATAAATTATAGACAAGAACATGTGCCCCGTGATGGACTCATACAGAAATAGTCACACACATCAGAACAGTGCTCGAAGAAGACAAATATGTACAGTGCATGTGTTGCATGTAAAGGCAACATACCATTGTAACCGGGATACGATGCATAATGGGTGTTGACTGTGCTATAATTACCTTCAGTTTATCAGCCGTTATCAGCCTGCTCTTAGAGCAATGCATATCAAACACTTTGCTTTATCGATTTTCTTTTTAACATTTATGTTTACCTGAAGCATTTTTCCTGATGACTTTGGTGTTGTCCGATTGAGGACAGATAACGTTAAGGGGCGGTGGGGTAGTCAAGTGGTTAAAGCGTTCTCTCGTCACGCTGAAGACCCGGGGTACCATGTTCGTTTCTGGTGGCCGTTGCCGCGATATTGCTGGATTATTGCTGAATTTGGCTTGAAACTGAACTCACTCACTCACTCACTCACTCACTCACTCACTCACTCACTCACTCACTCACTCACTCACTCCACTCACTCACTCACTCACTCACTCACTTACTCATTCACTCACTTACCCACTCACTCACTCACTCACTCAGCCATTACGAAGGACATTTTATATGCATTGCCGAGTTCGTTTCGTGCGGGGTTTGGTTTTAGGCTGTTGATCCAGATGATGAATAGAAATATAACATTCTGACTGTCCATTTCTGGTCTCCGTTGTCGTGATATTGCAGAGATTTTGCTAAAAGCGAGGTAAAACCATACTAACTCATAAGCATGTGCTGCCCCTATCGGTAACACCCCCATTTACTCGTTGGAGAAAAGGGAAAGCATATCCCGCCATATTGGTAACACCCTCTATTTACACGTTGGTGAAAAAGGGAAAGTATGTGCTGCCCTATCGGTAACACCCTCTATTTACACGTTGGTGAAAAGGGAAAGCATGTGCTGCCCTATCTGTAACACTCTCTATTTACACGTTGGTGAAAAGGGAAATAATGTGCTGCCCTATCGGTAACACCCCTATTTACACGTTGGTGAAAAAGGGAAAGTATGTGCTGCCCTATCTGCTCACTCACTCACTCACTCACTCACTCACTCACTCACTCACTCACTCACTCACTCACTCACTCACTCACTCACTCACTCTCACTCACTCACTCACTCACTCACTCACTCACTCACTCACTCACTCACTCACTCACTCACTCACCTCGATCGTTTGGTTTTAGCCTGTTGATCCAGATGATGAATAGAAATATAACATTCTGACTGTCCATTTCTGGTCTCCGTTGTCGTGATATAGCAGAGATATTGCTAAAAGCGAGATAAAACCATACTCACTCATAAGCATGTGCTGCCCTATCGGTAACACCCTCTATTTACACGTTGGAGAAAAGGGAAAGCATATCCTGCCCTATTGGTAACACCTATTTACACGTGGGTGAAAAGGGAAAGTATGTCTTACCCCATCGGTAACACGCTCTATTTACACGTTGGTGAAGAGGGAAAGTATGCCCTGCCCTATCGGTAACACCCTCTATTTACACGTTGGTGAAAAGGAAAGTATGTGCTGCCCTATCGGTAACACCCTCTTTTACACGTTGGTGAAAAGGGAAAGTACGTGCTGCCCCATCGCTAACACCCTCTATTTACACGTTGGTCAAAAGGGAAAGCATGTGCTACCCTATCGGTAACACCTTCTATTTACACGTTGGTGGAAAGGGAAAGTATGTGCTGCCCTATCGGTAACACCCTCTATTTACACGTTGGTGAAAAGGGAAAGTATGTGCTGCCCCATCGGTAACACCCTCCATCCACACGTTGGTGAAAGGGAAAGCATGTGCTACCCTATCGGTAACACCTTCTATTTACACGTTGGTGGAAAGGGAAAGTATGTGCCCCCTATCGGTAACACCCTCTATTTACACGTTGGTGAAAAGGGAAAGTATGTGCTGCCCCATCGGTAACACCCTCCATCCACACGTTGGTGAAAAGGGAAAGTATGCCCCCACCCTATCGGTAACACCCTCTGTTTACACGTTGGTCAAAAGGAAAGCATGTGCTACCCTATCGGTAACACCTTCTATTTACACGTTGGTGGAAAGGGAAAGCATATCCTGCCCTGTTGGTAACACCCTCTTTTTACACGTTGGTGAAAAGGGAAAGCATGTCCTGCCGTATCGGTAACACCCCTATTTACACGTTAGTGAAAATGGAAAGTACGTGCTGCCCTATCGGTAACACCCTCTATTTACACGTTGGTGAAAGGGAAAGTACGTGCTGCCCCATCGCTAACACCCCCTATTTACACGTTGGTGAAAATGGAAAGTACGTGCTGCCCTATCGGTAACACCCTCATTTACACGTTGGTTAAAGAGAAAGTACGTGCTGCCCCATCGGTAACACTCTCTATTTACACGTTGGTGAAAAGGAAAGTATGTGCTGCCCCATCGGTAACACTCTCTATTTACACGTTGGTGAAAAGGAAAGTACGTGCTTCCCTATCGGTAACACCCTCTATTTACACGTTGGTGAAAAGGAAAGTACGTGCTGTCCCATCGGTAACATCCTCCATTTACACGTTGGTGAAAAGGGAAAGCATGTGCCGCCCCATCGGTAGCATCCTCTATTTACACGTTGGTGAAAAGGCAAAGCATGTGCTGCCCCATCGGTAACACCCTCTATTTACAAGTTGGTGAAAGGGAAAGTACGTGCTGCCCCATCGGTAACACCCTCTATTTACACGTTGGTGAAATGGGAAAGCATGTGCTGCCCCATCGGTAACACTCTCTATTTACACGTTGGTGAAAAGGGAAAGCATGTGCTGCCCCATCGGTAACACTCTCTATTTACACGTTGGTGAAAAGAGAAAGTATGTGCTGCACTATCGGTAACACCCTCTATTTACACGTTGGTGAAAAGGGAAAGCATGTGCTGCCCTATCGGTAACACCCTCTATTTACACGTTGGTGAAAAGGGAAAGCATGTGCTGCCCTATCGGTAACACTCTCTATTTACACGTTGGTGAAAAGAGAAAGTATGTGCTGCACTATCGGTAACACCTCCCTTGAATAGAATAGCATTGTTCGAAACATGACATTGACAACGGCGTATCTATTTCTACCTGAAAATAAACCAGAGGAGAACTAACAGAGGTAGATGTTCTGCATCTTTGTATATATGTACTGATAGAGTTGTTTAATCAATATTCAGTATGTAACAAGTAGCTGGTAACAAGCCAT